AAACCTTCAACCCGATAAACCGTAAAGCCGAAACCCTAAACCCTAAACCCTAAACCCTAAACCCTAGACCCTAGACCGTAAGCCCAAAGCCCAAAGCCCAAAGTCCAAAGCCCTAAGCCCAAAGCCCTAAGCCCTAAGCCCTAAGCCCTAAGCCCTAAGCCCTAAGCCCGAAGCCCTACGCCCGAAACCCAGACCTATGGCTTCACGGATGGTGCACGTCCCGAGGCCGCTCGTCGTACTTTTTTTTCGCCTCGGCGTCTTAGGAGCTTTCCGGGGGGGGGCGGGGGGGTTGCAAGGGTTGTGATAAGTTACAAGGGTTTAGGGGTTTAGGGTTTAGGGTTGTAAGGGCATTTCATAAGAGCTGAGGGTTGCAAGGTTTTGTTAGAATGGTCTGAAACGGCGTTCTTGCACAGGTTCTTTTGGGGGGTTGCAAAGGGTTACGTTCTGGGCTTTGGGGCTCACAGTCCCTCCAGAATCAACACAAAAAGTCATAAGGAAGGTATGGTCTTGGGGGGCAGGGTTTAGGGGCCTGGGGGGGGGGGGGGATGTAGAGCTTGATAGGTTGAGGGGGTGGGCATGAAAGGTGGAGGGCCTTTTAGCTTTAGGACTTCGGGGCTTAGGGCACAGGCTACAGGACTGAGAGTTTCTGATGTCCTTCGGCTATGTGTATGCCCTGGACCTAGCTTAACCGCCTGGATCCCCAAACCAGAGACCCTGAAGCCCCTCGTTCGGAAATTCGATATGCCCAGAAGGGCTACAAGCAGGATAGCTAGAGGATACAACCTTATTCGGCTTACCGAAAACCCTGTCGATAACTGCACCTGAGCCTCAAGATTGAAACACAGCCCTAAACCCCAAGCCCGAAACCCTAAATCCTAAACCTAAACTATTCGAAACCCAAACTCCAAAGGTCTGGCCGGCGGCAGACTGCGCCCATCTTCGGGCCGCCGACCTCAGTGGAGAGGCTCCGATGCTGGCGGCGGCGCGTCGTCTAGTGGCCGGGGGCCGAGAGGGTTTAGGGTTTAGGGTTTAGGGTGTAGGGTAGGATCTAGGTTCTAAAGTGACCATCTTAATTAAAGCCCTATGAAAAATGCCTATGGATCCTTGTGAGACTTATGCGACCCCATACCACGCCAGTGACGGTCAAGCCTTCATGGAGGAGAACACCCTGCACAGGCCTCTAAGGGTAGTTGCATGGTCCCCTCGTATGGGCCCTTACAAGGGAACCCCTTACATACCCCTGATATGCCCTATACAAATTAAGGGCCCGTGCATCAGAACCCTTTAAAGGAGGTTAGGGACCATATTAAGGGCCCATGAAACTACCTTTGGAATTTGGAAGGTTAATGGGGCATGGAGCCCCTAAACCTAAACCCTAAGACCCCTAAACCCCCTAAACCCCAAAACGCCCAAAGCACAGGCCGAGAAGTGTATGCAGAAGCCCCTCGACAATCCCGTGCTCGCGCGATCCCAAGTCTGGCAACTATGGTGGCATGGGTTTGGGACTTGGGGTTTAGGGGTTTAGGGGTTTAGGGTTTAGGGGTTTAGGGTGCAGGGTTCAGGGTTCAGGGTTTAGTTCTGCAACCGGTTTTGACCTCTGTCGGGTACTTTTCCACCCTGCTGATAATATGAGTACCTCATGCACCTTCAAGTAAACTGGATCTGCGCCTTAAGTGCTTCAGCTAAACCGTAAACCCTAAACCCTAAACCCTTAACCGAAACCCTAAGACCCCAAGACACCAAGACCCCAAGATCCTGAGACCCCAAAACCCTAAGACCCTGGGACCCTAAGACCCCAAGATCCCTAAGACCCTGCGACCCTAAGATCCTGAGACCCCAAGACCTGAAGACCCTAAGACCCGGAGACCCTGAGGCCCCGAAACCTCAGCCTCACCTGTGAGGTGCAGATGTTGCCCATGCTGTCGGAGCCGCCCCCCACATCAAAGCGAAGGCGCTGGCCGAAACCCGAATCCTTAAACCCTAAACCCTCAACCCGAAACCGGGTGATACGCCTGATGCCCTGAACCTTTCAGCTTCCTAAGCCCTGCAGGCTGAGACTTGAACCACGTCTTTCAAACTCACTAAAACCTCAACCTTACAGTACCTCATCTCTATACACCCCTTAGAAACTTTGCCCGAAACATGTGGTGGTTTCCGAAATTGGGGGTACCTTATTGGATCCTTCTTGGGGCCCTTTTTATATAATTGGATCCGATTCGCGGTCCCCCGTTCTTCGTAAACCCCCATGTCCCTCTGGTTTAGGGTTTAGGGTTTAGGGTTTAGGGCGACCAGGCTCCGCTCCTTCTTGTGACGGGCGTGGTGCGAAGTGATGGGCCATGCGCTGGTGTGGAGGTGCCAGAAAGGTTCGCGAGGCCGCCGTACATCTGCTCAGGGGTTCAGGGGGTTTAGGGGTTTAGGGTTTAGGGTTTAGGGTTTCGGGTTTAGGGTTTAGGGTTTAGGGCATCTGCTCAAGGCTCGGGAAGCTTGCTTCTGGGGTTTGCGCCCTGCCAAAGGTCTGCAGGAAATCTTGCACGCGACGGCGGCTGCAAAAGGATTGTTTTAGGGTTTAGGGTTTTAGGGCTTAGGGCCTAGGGTTTAGGGTTTAGGCTTTAGGGTTTTAGGGCTTCGGGTTTCGGGTAGGACCTCACAAGCTCTGGCACAACCCTCGACCCTAGACCCGAAACCCGAAACCCCAAAGCCCATAAACCCCAAGCCTAGACCTTTTCTAATCCCTGAACCCCGAAGCAGAAACCCTGCCGTAGTTTGGGGTGCGTAGAATTACTACTATTTGCTTACGAACCCGCCCCCCCCCCCCCCGCCGTCAACAACAGAAATGATAATCCCTATTGCCCTTACAAGGAAGGTTTTCTTGCAAACGCATTTTGGGGGGTCTTCAGAGAAGAGCATAGTAGATTATTGAAGGGTCTAATCCCTGAACCCTATACTCCACCCCAAAACCAAACCCCAAACCCCAAACCCCAAACCCCAAACCCCAAACCCAAAACCCCAAACCCCAAACCCCAAACCCCAAACCCCAAACCCCATACCCCAAACCCCAAAGCCCAAACCCCAAAGCCCAAAGCCCAAAGCCCAAACCCCAAACCCCAAACCCCAAACCCAAAACCCCAAACCCCAAACCCCAAACCCCAAACCCCAAACCCCAGACCCAAAACCCCAGACCCCAGACCCCAAACCCCAAACCCCAAACCCCAAACCTCAAACCCCAAACCCGAAACCCCAAACCCCAAACCCCAAACCCCAAACCCCAAACCCTAAACCCTAAACCCTAAACCCTAAACTAACCTGTCCATTTGAACCCTAAACCCTAAACCCTGGACCCTGGACCCTGGACCCTGGACCCTAAACCCTAAACCCTAAACCCTAACCCTAAACCCTAAACCCTAAACCCTAAACCCTAAACCCTAAACCCTAAACCCTAAGCCCTAAGCCCTAAACCCTAAGCCCTAAACCCTAAACCCTAGACCCTAAACCCTACACCCTAAACCGTAAACCGTAAACCGTAAGCCCTAAACCCTAAACCCTAGACCCTAAACCCTAAACCCTAAACCCTAAACCCTAAACCCTAAACTGAGGTGGCACGAGGCCATTGAGGCCAGAGGACGCAAGGCGAGGTTAGCACGGCAGGGGTTTGGATATTTCAGGTTTGGGTAGTTTAGGGCCCATTTAGGCAGGGCGTTTAGGGTTTAGGGTGTATACAGGGTTTAGGGTTGGGTGAGAACCTCCCCCGAGCTGTTTTGGGTTAATGGAATTCAGGGTAGGTTGTCTGGGGGTTTGGTTTAAGCGCTTAGGGGTGAGTTTAGGCGTTTAGGGCCTTAACCATTTAGGGGATTCGGGGTTTCAAGTTTAGGGCACGGCTTGGGATGTAGGGCAAACCTTTAGAAGCAACTTGAGCAGATCTACGGGATAGATGGCCTGACGATCTTTCGCTGTGCCTGAGGGTTTATAGTTAAGGGTTTAGGGTTAAACCCTAAACCCTAAATTCCAAAACCCTAAACCTTAAACCCTTTTCCTCTTCGCCCTAAACCCTAAACCCTCCGTCTCGCTTCAAAGCTTTTGCAGCTGAGAGAGCAGACATAGCCACGCAACACTAAATGCCTCTTGGATGCTGAAAAGCCCTTGGACCCAAAGCTTCCCAAGACCTGCGAGGCGCCGAACCCCTGAGCCCTACACCCGAAACCCGAAACGAGGGCTGTCACGAACTCACCCCGGGCCCTGGAGACCCTGCGGTATACCAGCAGTGCTACGCTTCCGAAGAGGGGTTTTTGCGCTTTTAGGTTTAGGCTTCTCGTTTTGCCAGCCCTGAACCCCACTTTCTTAGCCGCCTGGCGCGCAAACACCTCCCAGACACGCACCTGGCGCCCGAACCCCCCAAACCCCCAAACCCCAAAACCCAAACCCGAACTTCTCCCCGCGCCGGCACCCGCCCTTCGGCGATGGCGCCGCCCACGCGGCGGTATCTCAAGGTGGGTCTCTTGGGGTCCTTAGGAGACCAAGCTTAGGAGGGGTCTCAGGGTTTCGGAAAGCCCCTGAAGTCCTAAAGCCCTAAATGCCTGAAGCCCCGAAAGCCGAAACCCCAATTCCTCTAAGCGCCACAGAGGCACTTCAAAGCGTAAGCCCGAAACCCGTAAACCCCCAAAAGATAAGTAGAGATAATATACGCAGGGCAACTATAGCTTTCAACGCTAGAACTATAGCTTTACTTATGGCTATCCAAGTACGTCAAGGAAACCCCAAACCCCAAACCCCAAACCCCAAACCCCAAACCCCAAACCCCAAACCCCAAACCCCAAACCCCAAACCCCAAACCCCAAACCCCAAACCGCAAACCGCAAACCGCAAACCGCAAGCCCCTAACCCCAAACCCCAAACCCTAAACCCCAAACCCTAAACCCTAGCCCTAAACCCTGAACCCGAAACCCTAAACCCGAAACCCTAAACTCTTGAGTGACTTTCTGGTGCCAGGCATAGCCTGGAGACCCATGCCGACTGTGGATGTGACGGTGGAGCCCGTGAGCGCTTGGTCCGAACGTGAGGGTTTAGGGTTTAGGGTTTAGGGTTTAGGGTTTAGGGTTTAGGGTTTAGGGTTTAGGGTGTAGGGTGTAGGGTGTAGGGTTTAGGGTTTCGGGTTTAGGATTTGGGGTTTTAGGGTTTGGGATGCAGGGTGTAGGGCTCAGATTTTCTTGCTATTCCGTAAATCGCATGAGAATCCTTACAGCAACTTAAGGTTGATAATAGTATTTAAGATTTCTTTCTGGTTGTGCCTTGACCGCAGTGCTATGTAAAAAAAAGTCCTAACCCTAAACCCTAAACCCTAAACCCTAAACCCTAAACCCTAAACCCTAAACCCTAAACCCTAAACCCTAAACCCTAAACCCTAAACCCTAAACCCTAAACCCTAAAACCCTAAAACCCTAAACCCTAAACCCTAAGCCCTAAACCCTAAACCCTAAGCCCTAAAACGCTAAACGCTAAACCTAAACCCTAAGCCCTAAAACACTAAACGCTAAACCTAAACCCTAAGCCCTAAGCCCTAAGCCCTAAACCCTAAACCCTAAACCCTAAACCCTAAACCCTAAACCCTAAACCCTAAACCCTAAGAGGGCTGGGCATGACCGGCAGTAAATCTGGGCATCTCGCCCGAAGACCTCCATATCTGGCCCGACAAGGGTTTAGGGTTTAGGGTTTAGGGTTTAGGGCCGAGGGCACTCTTGCCGAAGGATTCTCGGAAGATCTGCCCACAGTTCTGTATCGAAGCCCTAGAGCCCGACTCCCCCAACCCCCACACCTAAGCCCTAAATGATTCCTGCACTGAGTGGGTGTCTGGGTCGGCTGAAGGTCTCCGAATGTCTGAGCTCGGCCCCCCCCCCCTTAGTGTCCCAAACTTTATAGACAAGGATACAGCCTGCTATAACTTCGAGTTACCCTACTTCTCACCCTACTTATAAGCACCCACCGATGCCAAAAGACGGGTTTACCCTGGCCAGAGAGCACCCCAAGCCTCTGAGTGCTATGTGTAAGGGTAGTTACATGGTCCCTAGTATGGGCCCTTAGAAGGGTACCCCATATATATACCCCTGAAGAACCCTAGAATACGAGTTAAGGGGGCCCTTTAGGGGAGGTTAGGGAGCGTATTAAGGGCCCATATGCAGACTAAGTGTCTGGTTCTTTCAACCTCCGGGGCTCGGGCTTACCTTTGTCCTCAAAACCTCAAACACCACGAATGGCTACGCAATTCAGTGTATATCCCCTCTCCCCTCCTCCCTCCCCCCAAGAAAAGCAGAAGAACATGGGCAAGGTAAGGAGGGGGACCACGGTAGGGTTTGATCCAAGCAACTTTAAACCCGAAAATCCTAAACCATAAACCCAAAACCCTAAACCCAAAACCCAAAACCCAAAACCCGAAACCCTAAATCCTAAACCCTAAACCCTAAACTCTAAACCCTAAACCCCAAGCCAAGGTGTCGAAGTCGAGGTGCCGGACGAGTGCACCGTTGGCCAATGGAAGCGCATGCTGGGTGACGGCTGGCTTGGGGACAAGATCCTGCCCCTCGGCCGCAGGGGTGTTGTTCCGGACACTACACCATACAGCAAGCCCTAAACCCTAAACTCCAAACCCTAGACCCTAAACCCCGGTATTTTAGAGGTTTTTGTTGAAGGTTCTAGAGGGTCTTAGGATGAGTTTTGGCTTGCGGATGGTTTAGGGCCTTGTGACACCTCTGTGTTAGGCCATCCCTTCCGACTGCTCCTACGGTTTCCGGACGCAACCCGAAACCCTAAAGCCCTTAAAAACAACAACGCCGAACCCCGAACCAAGGTATAGCCACCCTGAACCCTGAACCCTAAACCCCAAACCCCAATCCCCAAACCCCAAACCCTCAATCCTCAACCCTAAACCTTAAACCCTAAACCCTAAAACCTTTGGGGCAGCCAAACCGAGGTACAGCCACAAGCTTCAGTGCTTTATGGTCGACCAGGGCGGCGTGGGGGCCCCAGTTCAGGGGCTTTGGGAGGGTTTGGGGTTTGGGCTTCAGGGTTGGGATGTTCCCCCTTATACTAAGAGTCCTTAATTGGGATTCAAGTACCCTAAACCCTAAACCCTAAACCCTAAACCCTAAACCCTAAACCCTAAACCCTAAACCCTAAACCCTAAACCCTAAACCCTAAACCCTAAAACATAAACCCTAAACCCTAAACCCTAAACCCTAAACCCTAAACCCTAAACCCTAAACCCTAAACCCTAAACCCTAAACCCTAAACCCTAAACCCTAAACCCTAAACCCTAAACCCTAAACCCTAAACCCTAAACCCTAAACCCTACACCCTACACCGTAAACCCTAAACCCTAAACCCTTTAATTATTTTAATCCCTATTAGGGGGAACATCCCACCTTTGGGGCTTACGTTTTTTGGGGTTTTAGAGGTTTTTGGGGTTTTTGGGGGTTTGGGGTTTAGGGTTTGGGGTTTAGGTTTTTTTGGGGGTTCAGGTTTTTTGGGGGTTTGGGGTTGAGGGTTTGGGGTCCTAAGCCCCGCCGTGGCGACCGCTTACTTTTTTCTGAGTCGATTTGTTTGGACGGAGTCGTTTTCTGGCAAGGCTTGAGCTGAGAATACAAACGAAAACCGCCGAAATGGTGACGCGACGCAAGGGTTTCGGGTTTAGGGTTTAGGGTTTGGGGTTTGGGGTTTAGGGTTTAGGGTTTAGGGTTTAGGGTTTGGGGTGTAGGGTTAGGGCAATGCTCTTAGTTGGCTTGTTTGGCTCCAGTGCTTTGGGTGAACCCTAAACCCTAAACCCTAAGAGCTTCTGTGCTGGTTTAGGGTTTAGGGTTTAGGGATTAGGGTTTAGGGATTAGGGTTCAGGGTTGAGGGAATGTCTGAGTGCTCGACCCTGACTCCTGCTGCTTGCAGAAAGGCGCTGGGCGACGAGGAGTCGATACCGACGCTCCCCAATCGGCCTCTTCGTTGCACTGGTTCGGGGGGGGGAGGGGTTGGGGTTTGGGGTTTCGGGTTTCGGGTTTAGGGTTTAGGGTGTAGGGTGTAGGGTTCAAGGTTAAGGGTTAAGGGTGTAGGGTTTAAGATCTAGGGTCTACGGTTTAGGGTCCTCCACCCAGCAGTCCCGCAGAGTCTAGATCGCGCAGCACTTGGGCGCGAAATCAAGCCCAACACCTTTGGGATGCTTGTACTAGCAGTCCTTAGGGATTCTGGTACCCCCTATTATGACCCCTATTATAAGGACTGTTCGTATACGTGGGGACATCCCAGCTTCTAGCCTCTATGAAGGATAAGGGGTAGCATCCCCTAAAGGCAACCCGGGCCCAACAAAAAGCTACTAAAACCCAGCAGGTTCGACCCTGATCGCAAGGTTACATCTCCAGAGCAGTATGCACGGCAGACTTACCCCGTTACTAAGCCTTAAACCTTAAACCCTAAACACTAAACCCTGAACCCTAAACCCTCAACCGCCTAAAAAGGGCCCCGAAATCCTGAGGATCTTCATGAAGGGCCCTGGGAGCGTGCTGAAGATGCTGGAGCTGGCGCTCAACAAGCAGCATCTTGGCAGAATGCGGCCCCCGGAGGCTCTTGGTTTTGGATGTTTTGGGGTTTCGGGTTTTAAGGTTTAGGGTTTAGGGTTTGAGGTTAGGGTTTAGGGTTTAGGGTTTAGGGTTTAGGGCTTAGGGCTTACTAAGCTTGGGTTTGGGGAGGTTTGGGGTTGACGCAAGAGCGCTTGAAAGCTTCAGCACTGGACCATGAAGCCCTACGTACCAAGCCATAGGATGGTGTCGGAACAGGCATTCAAGGTCGAGGTTCCTGCAGGAAGGGTTTAGGGTTTAGGGTTTAGGGTTAGGGTTGAGGATTGAGGATTGAGGGTTGAGGGTTTACGGTTTAGGGTTTAAGGTTGAGGGTTGAGGGTTTGGGGTTTAGGGTTTAGGGTTTAGGGAGTTGGCTGTACCCTAAACGATGCCCCCCCCCCCCCATGGTATACATCAGCCCCTGCATATCCTCCAAGCCCTCAAACCTGAGCCCTAAACCCTAAACTATACCCTCTAGACCCTCTAGACCCTCTATACCCTCTATGTACGAAGGACCTTTAGGTATAATGTGAGGTAGCCTCTTTGTTTAGTATTGGGGGCCTAGCCCGGGCTTCCCCCCAATACTGAATCACGAGCCCGGGCCTCCCCCCAATACTAAATCACGAGCCCGGCCCTCCCCCCAATACTAAATCACGAGCCCGCGCTTCCCCCCAATACTAAATCACGAGCCCGGGCCTCCCCCCAATACTAAATCACGAGCCCGGGCTCGTAATTTAGTATTGGGGGAATTTCTATTTCAAAGATTTCAAAGATTTCAAAGGTTGCAAAAGGCGGGGGAAACTCCCGGGAAGTTTCCCAAACCTTTTGCAACATTTGAAATCTTTGAAATCTTTGAAATAGAAATTCCCCCCGGGCTTCCCCAATACTAAACCACGAGCCCGGGCTTCCCCCCAATACTAAATCACGAGCCCGGGCTTCCCCCCAATATTAAATCACGAGCCCGGGCTTCACCCTTAATACTAAATCACGAGCCCGGCCCTCCCCCCAATACTAAATCACGAGCCCGGGCCTCCCCCCAATACTAAATCACGAGCCCGGCCCTCCCCCCAATACTAAATCACGAGCCCGGGCTTCCCCCCAATCCTAAATCACGAGCCCGGGCTCGTAATTTAGTATTGGGGGAATTTCTATTTCAAAGATTTCAAAGATTTCAAAGATTTCAAAGGTTGCAAAAGGCGGGGGAAACTCCCGGGAAGTTTCCCAAACCTTTTGCAACCTTTGAAATCTTTGAAATCTTTGAAATCTTTGAAATCTTTGAAATAGAAATTCCCCCCGGGCTTCCCCAATACTAAACCACGAGCCCGGGCTTCCCCCCAATACTAAATCACGAGCCCGGGCTTCCCCCCAATACGAAATCACGAGCCCGGGCTTCACCCCTAATACTACATCACGAGCCCGGCCCTCCCCCCAATACTAAATCAGGAGCCCGGGCATCCCCCCAATACTAAATCACGAGCCCGGCCCTCCCCCAAATACTAAATCACGAGCCCGGGCCTCCCCCCAATACTAAATCACGAGCCCGGGCTTGTAATTTAGTATTGGGGGAATTTCTATTTCGAAGATTTCAAAGATTTCAAAGATTTCAAAGGTTGCAAAAGGCGGGGGAAACTCCCGGGAAGTTTCCCAAACCTTTTGCAACCTTTGAAATCTTTGAAGTCTTTGAAATCTTTGAAATAGAAATTCCCGCCGGGCTTCCCCAATACTAAACCACGAGCCCGGGCTTCCCCCCAATACTAAATCACGAGCCCGGGCTTCCCCCCAATACTAAATCACGAGCCCGGGCTTCACCCCTAATACTAAATCACGAGCCCGGCCCTCCCCCCAATACTAAATCACGAGCCCGGGCCTCTCCCCAATATTAAATCACGAGCCCGGCCCTCCCCCCAATACTAAATCACGAGCCCGGGCTTCCCCCCAATACTAAATCACGAGCCCGGGCTCGTAATTTAGTATTGGGGGAATTTCTATTTCAAAGATTTCAAAGATTTCAAAGATTTCAAAAGTTGCAAAAGGCGGGGGAAACTCCCGGGAAGTTTCCCAAACCTTTTGCAACCTTTGAAATCTTTGAAATCTTTGAAATAGAAATTCCCCCAATACTAAATAACGAGCCCGGGCTCGTGATTTAGTATTGGGGGGAGGCCCGGGCTCGTGATTTAGTATTGGGGGGAAGCCCGGGCTCGTGATTTAGTATTCGGGGGAAGCCCGGGCTCGTAATTTAGTATTGGGTGGAAGCCCGGGCTCGTAATTTAGTATTTGGGGGTGAAGCCCGGGCTCGTGATTTAATATTGGGGGGAAGCCCGGGCTCGTGATTTAGTATTGGGGGGAGGGCCGGGATCGTGGTTTAGTATTGGGGAAGCCCGGGGGGAATTTCAAAGATTTCAAAGATTTCAAAGGTTGCAAAAGGCGGGGGAAACTCCCGGGAAGTTTCCCAAACCTTTTGCAACCTTTGAAATCTTTGAAATCTTTGAAATAGAAATTCCCCCAATGCTAAATTACCAGCCCGGGCTCGTGATTTAGTATTGGGGGGAGGCCCGGGCTCGTGATTTAGTATTTGGGGGAGGGCCGGGCTCGTGATTTAGTATTGGGGGGATGCCCGGGCTCCTGATTTAGTATTGGGGGGAGGGCCGGGCTCGTGATTTAGTATTAGGGGTGAAGCCCGGGCTCGTGATTTCGTATTGGGGGGAAGCCCGGGCTCGTGATTTAGTATTGGGGGGAAGCCCGGGCTCGTGGTTTAGTATTGGGGAAGCCCGGGGGGAAATTCTATTTCAAAGATTTCAAAGATTTCAAAGGTTGCAAAAGGTTTGGGAAACTTCCCGGGAGTTTCCCCCGCCTTTTGCAACCTTTGAAATCTTTGAAATCTTTGAAATCTTTGAAATAGAAATTCCCCCAATACTAAATTACGAGCCCGGGCTCGTGATTTAGTATTGGGGGGAAGCCCGGGCTCGTGATTTAGTATTGGGGGGAAGGGCCGGGCTCGTGATTTAGTATTGGGGGGAAGCCCGGGCTCGTAATTTAGTATTGGGTGGAAGCCCGGGCTCGTAATTTAGTATTGGGGGAATTTCTATTTCAAAGATTTCAAAGATTTCAAAGATTTCAAAGGTTGCAAAAGGCGGGGGAAACTCCCGGGAAGTTTCCCAAACCTTTTGCAACCTTTGAAATCTTTGAAATCTTTGAAATCTTTGAAATAGAAATTCCCCCAATACTAAATAACGAGCCCGGGCTCGTGATTTAGTATTGGGGGGAGGGCCGGGCTCGTGATTTAGTATTGGGGGGAGGTCCGGGCTCGTGATTTAGTATTGGGGGGAAGCCCGGGCTCGTAATTTAGTATTGGGTGGAAGCCCGGGCTCGTAATTTAGTATTGGGGGAATTTCAAAGATTTCAAAGATTTCAAAGATTTCAAAGGTTGCAAAAGGCGGGGGAAACTCCCGGGAAGTTTCCCAAACCTTTTGCAACCTTTGAAATCTTTGAAATCTTTGAAATAGAAATTCCCCCAATGCTAAATTACGAGCCCGGGCTCGTGATTTAGTATTGGGGGGAGGGCCGGGCTCGTGAGTTTAGTATTGGGGGGAAGCCCGGGCTCGTGATTTAGTATTGGGGGGAAGCCCGGGCTCGTGATTTAGTATTGGGGGGAAGCACGGGCTCGTAATTTAGTATTGGGGGAATTTCTATTTCAAAGATTTCAAAGATTTCAAAGATTTCAAAGATTTCAAAGATTTCAAAGATTTCAAAGATTTCAAAGGTTGCAAAAGGCGGGGGAACTCCCGGGAATTTCCCCCGCCTTTTGCAACCTTTGAAATCTTTGAAATCTTTGAAATAGAAATTCCCCCAATGCTAAATTACGAGCCCGGGCTCGTGGTCTAGTATTGGGGGGAAGCCCGGGCTCGTGATTTAGTATTGGGGGGAAGGGCCGGGCTCGTGATTTAGTATTGGGGGGAAGCGCGGGCTCGTGATTTAGTATTGGGGGGAGGGCCGGGCTCGTGATTTAATATTGGGGAGGCCCGGGGGGAATTTCTATTTCAGAGATTTCAATCATTTCAAAGATTTCAAAGGTTGCAAAAGGCGGGGGAAACTCCCGGGAAGTTTCCCAAACCTTTTGCAACCTTTGAAATCTTTGAAATAGAAATTCCCCCAATACTAAATACGAGCCTCGGGCTCGTGATTTAGTATTGGGGGGAGCCCGGGCTCGTGATTTAGTATTTGGGGAGAGGCCCGGGCTCGTGATTTAGTATTGGGGGGAGGGCCGGGCTCGTGATTTAGTATTGGGGGGAAGCCCGGGCTCGTGATTTAGTATTGGGGGGAAGCCCGGGCTCGTAATTTAGTATTGGGTGGAAGCCCGGGCTCGTAATTTAGTATTGGGGGAATTTCTATTTCAAAGTTTTCAAAGATTTCAAAGATTTCAAAGGTTGCAAAAGGTGGGGGAAACTCCCGGGAAGTTTCCCAAACCTTTTGCAACCTTTGAAATCTTTGAAATCTTTGAAATAGAAATTCCCCCAATGCTAAATTACGAGCCCGGGCTCGTGATTTAGTATTGGGGGGAGGGCCGGGCTCGTGATTTAGTATTGGGGGGAAGCCCGGGCTCGTGATTTAGTATTGGGGGGAAGGGCCAGGCTCGTGATTTAGTATTGGGGGGAAGCCCGGGCTCGTAATTTAGTATTGGGGGAATTTCTATTTCAAAGATTTCAAAGATTTCAAAGATTCAAAGATTTCAAAGATTTCAAAGATTTCAAAGGTTGCAAAAGGCGGGGGAACTCCCGGGAATTTCCCCCGCCTTTTGCAACCTTTGAAATCTTTGAAATCTTTGAAATAGAAATTCCCCCAATGCTAAATTACGAGCCCGGGCTCGTGATCTAGTATTGGGGGGAAGCCCGGGCTCGTGATTTAGTATTGGGGGGAAGGGCCGGGCTCGTGATTTAGTATTGGGGGGAAGCGCGGGCTCGTGATTTAGTATTGGGGGGAG